ACACGCCTTTAATCCCAGTGCTAGAGAGGTATAAAAAAAGATAGGAACAAAGTCTTCAGTTGTCTCAGTCTCAGGATTCTCTCCAGTCACGTTGAGGAAAGGCAGCAGTCTAAGGCTTGGCCCTTTCAGCCTGAGGTAGTGGTCAGCTGCTTTACTTTTCTGACCTTCATCTTGAAGGTTGAAGCTTGAACCCCAATGTCTGTCTTTGGGTCTTTTATTTTTCATGCCACAGCTCCCCCAGATCCCATTTATTTCAATAATATAGAGAGGTTGGAAGCCAGATTCTGATGACTTAAAAAGTGAGAAGGACAGCAGGAACTCTTTCAAGAGGCTTAGTTGTAAAGGGAAAGAGAAATGTAGAGAAATAGCTACGAAAGAGCCTGGAGGTAATCGAGGATCTTTGAAAGATGAAACAAACCTGAGCATGCTTCTATTTACTGCCAATCAATAGACCATTAGAAAGATAAATTAGAGTTCCTGTCTGGCATTCCTCCTTCATCCTTTTTGGTAGTCAACAAGCGCTTTGTACTGGATTTTAAAGTACTTTTCCTCCTTTCTTGAGTTTTCCAGAGACAAAACTAAAATAAAGGAGGCAACTGCCTAGAACCCCCATTCTAGCCTCACCATCAAGCCCTCTCTCCATTTCTGCTGCATTTCTAATATTCTCCCACCTATTTTTGCCACGTGTATCAATTTTTCTAATACATATTACATAGCCTTAGTGCCACCTTGATAAAAGCAATTCAGTGTGGTACACAGGAATCTATTGCTGAACACTAAAAACAGTATTTGCAAAGTTCAGGAGAAACAAGCAGGAAACCAAATTTCCTTGGTTTAAAGAATTCTTCTGCTGCCTAGTTACCAAGGTTGAATGATTAAGTGCCCATGCCAGAAACTGGGGAGACTCTAAGAAAGGTTTGTGCCCTCTTGGAGTTTATTATGTCAACTACCAAAGAGCACCTTGCAAGAGGCACAAATATAGTGTGGAAAACCAAGATAAAAAATCTAAGTCAGCAGGAGATGAGAAATAGAAAGACATAAAGAAGAATTGTTGGAGTCTTTGAAAGTAAAGACAAAGATGAATGACAAGCAGGAGACTGAGGAGAAAAATGTGGTGAATCTTAAAGGCTGACCCTATTAGAGTATGTTTATATGAGACATACTGAGTTGCAAGATACAGTTCTTAAATCCTCCAGGGTAACTTCACATCATGACATCAAAATTTATGCAAGGGTGTCATAGTTATTTATGAGGATTTTTTCTTCTTTTAAAGAGTGGGGATGCAATTTTGGAAAATAGAATAATACACATGAGAGGATATTGAAAGATCATCTGACTGTTGAAGGCATGAGTATTTATGGGATATGCTGTGGTTTCTTAGCCAAGGCCACACAGTTACAGGACATTCTCCAGGCATAACTAAACTGACAAGGAGTATGACATGTCTGTGTGACCCAAATGTATGACTTCCCTTGTTCTTTGTTGCAGAGCTCTTCATACATTAGCAAAGACACCATGAAACATACACGCCAGCTGCCTCTTGTTCTGCATCTCTTGTCACAGAAGTTGATCAGCATCACTATCTAAAAGCTTACTTTGCCTGCATATACTTCCTCTCTTTGGTCTCTTTCACATGCATTATTCCTAAGTCTGCCTCTCAATGGGTATAAGTAGTGCAAAGAATACATCTGCATATGTGCATCTGACTTAGGTCTTATGTCCAGAATACACATGGAACCTTTAAAATACAACAGGAGCTGGAGAGATGGGTCAGTTGGTAAAGTGCCTGCTGCACAAGCGTGAGGACATGAGCTCACCTCCATAGCAACCACATAACAAGACAGGTATGCTAGCTCTAGATTGCAGTGGAGCAGATTCCTGGTGTTTACTGGCGAGCCAGTCTATCACATTCATGATTGCCTTGTTCAGTGAGAAACTATGTCTTAAGAGATAGGTGGAGAATGATTAAGGAAGTCATCAGATATTAAGCAGTAGCATGCTCACACTTGCATACATATGTACATTTATACCTGAATACACATTGCATACAGATATGCTGCATAAATGCAAGTGCATTCACACACACACACACACACACACGCACGCACACACGCACACACCTTCTTGAATCAGGAGGTCATATAATCGAATATGAGAGTCATGAAAACTTGGACAACAGTAAAAGGTCTCTGAACACACAACAATCAAAAATTAAAAACTAAAAGGAGTCAAAGGTGTTTCTGGAAGCATTTGACTCATGCTGTATTGTTCAGCTTCAAAGTAGCCTTGGTCTGAACACACAGCAAGCACACTGAGTAATGCACATGCCATTGTGTTACACAATGCCACTAAACACTGCCTCAAACACGTAGGATCAGACTATTGCATACTAGATAATGAAGTGTTTTTACTATACATACTGTAGAAAACTTTTATAGAAATACAACAACCTTTAATATTCCCTACCACCATTTCTCAGTGTGTAAGTACCAATCAGTATATCTTCAGACTGCATTGTATTAGAATGTTTGTTTTACAATAGCTGTTTGAGCCAGAGGTGCATTTCTTGAAAATTGTTAAATAGATTTTGGTTTAGGATTAGGACAAAATTTCCAACTACTTTGGAAATAGCCCTAGTCATACTTCTGCCATTTTGTTTGAAGTGGCATTCTCAACACTGAGGACAGTTAAATTAAAATGTCAATAAACTTGAAAAATACTGAAAATGCTATATGTTCTGCATTATCAAGTAACACAGCTGAGGTTTAATCATTTATAGAAAAATAAGTAGTAACGTCAAATATGTTAGTATGCAGACTTGCTTTCATCTTTAAGAAATGATAACACCAAGAAATTATTTTAAAATAAATTATTGTACGATGTTTCAACATGATGTTTGATTTTCATACCTTTTTTATGACTGTGTAAAAATTTCTCAGTGAGAGGGGCCCAGCAGAAGGGCCACAGAAGAAAAAGTTGAAGGAGACCTGTTTTAAAATACAATAAGACAATATGTGTGTGGGGGTGTACACACATGCACGTTCTTATAAATATTCAGGTGCACTAAGGCAGGGTTGAGGAGGACAGGAGTAGCTGGCCTAGATCATACTTGACAATTAAACTATGCTGGCTGGCCAGAAAACCCCAGGGTTCCACTTGTCTCTGCCTCCTGAGATCTGGAATTACAGACATACATTACCACACCTAGCTTTTTTTTTAGTGTGAGTTCTTGGGCTCTAATTCATGTCTTCATCATTGTAAGGCAATCATTTTTAATGACGAATAGCTCACACAGTTCAACTTTTAAAGGAAAGATGTTCATTTAAGGGTGTGAAGATGTAACTCGGTTGTTAGAATGTATGCTGGAGGTCTTGCATCTAATTCCCAGTACCACAAAAAAAAAAAAAAAAAAAAAGAACTGGGCTTGGTGATGCACATCTGTAAACCTAGCACTCAGGAATTAGAGACAGAAAAATCAGAAGTTCAAAATTACTCTCATCATCTACATTTTGAGTTTCCTGAGATCTTATCTCAAAACACTAAATGTGTTGCTCTTGAGTTTGAATTATAGTGTTTTTCATCTGCATTAATGATTACCTCCTAATTCCTGTCTTTTTAAATATTTTTTCTCTTTTTTAATAAGAAAGATAGGTGGGTTTATGTTTATTGTTAAGATTTATTTTATGTATGTACATGTATATGTGTTTGTATGCATGTATGCCATGTGTGTGCAAGTGCCCTTAGAGGCCATAAGAGGGCTTTGACTTCCTGGAACTGGAGTTACAGGTGATGTGAGGCACCCACCCACCCCCTGTGGATGCTCAGACCTAAACTAGCATTCTCCAGAAGAGCAGGAAGCACTCCTACCTACTAAGCCACCTCTCAAGTCCCTGGCCTTTAGGGTTTATTATGCCATGTTATTTCATTTTTGTTGCATTTATTTACATATGGGGTATGTGTGTGTGTGTGTGTTTATGCCACTGTACATATGTGTAGGTCAGGAGACAACTTTCAGGAGTTGGTTTTCTCCTTCCATTATATGGGTCATGGTGATTGATCGCAGTTCCTCAGGCTTGATGGCAAGTGCCTACTGAGCCAACTCACAGGCAGACATTTTGGGTTCTGCATTTTATTCATTTCAATCACTATCTCTATTGCTTCCCTTACTACCATTTTGTTTCTAACTAATATCTCTATATACATACACCTTAACACATTTTATATTTGGTTTTATATATATATATTTACGGGATACAAACTCTGAAAATGTAAAATAGTAACTTTGGGCTGCAGAGAATAGCTTACTGGCCGAAGACGTTCCACATTTGCAAGGCTTGGGGTTCAATCCCCAGCACAAAAATAGTAACCTATCTTCTCTTCTCCCACAGTAGTGCTTTTTCATATCATTTAATATTCAAATTTTGAGTTACTTATATATTATTGTTAGTCAACTGCCATTTCTACACTAATAGGCAGTCCACAGGTCTGAGAACTCAGGGCAAGAACTTTTACTCCTATGGAGTGCTGTCCCTCAAAAGCCTAAAATGACGTCTAGTACAAAACAGGTACTCCAGAAAACCTTTCAGACAAATTCAATACATGATTCATTTTTCCCACACAAAGGACAAAACAGGAACGCTGGTGTCCAGTTCTTTAACACGTACTCCTCCACGTACTCCTCCGGGCCAGAAGCTTCTAATGCTTGAGCCACATTCCTGAACTCTCAGGGCCGGAGCAGATGGCTGGGAGTGAAACTGCCAATGGATGCTGGTTTTATTTCTCCTCAAACTGACCGCAGAATCAGCTTTCACAGCCTAATGTCCTCCTCGGTTGCACGCTGGTGGCCAGTGCCTTCAGCACTCGCAGAAACTGAGTCTCAGCCCCGCCTCCCGACCCAGAAGCGTGGGAGGACAGCCTCACCCAACCCCTCGAGGCTGGGCCGTAGCAGACGCACACGCCCCCTTCATCCCACTCCTACCTTTTCGCCCCGCCCCCGGGCCGGAAGCACTTGCAGGTACTTCCGGTGGTCGGGGACCCGCGGCTTCTTCGGAGATGTCTTGGGTTCAAGCTGTCCCCGAGATCCTCAGCCCTGGGGATCAGGACGTGTTTGACGAGGAAGCGGACGAGACTCTGTTAGTGCAGCGGGAATGGCAGGGACACATGCGGAGACGAATCCAAGTAAATGACCAGAGACCGGGATGCGCGGGAATGGGACTCCCACGCGGGGCTCGCGGGGGCCGGGGCACGCGGGCGGAAGCCTGGACGGAGGGGGACGGCTGCGGTGACCCCCAAGGCCGCCCCAGTCTTAGGATTTCCAGTTTGGTTACGTGGTAACCTTTAAACAGCCTCGTTCTTTGAGAGCCCCCCCTTAGGTTTGGAGCCGGGCACTGACCGACTAAAGTGAACTTGATCCAGTCCCTCAAGAGTTTGCAGTTTGGGGAGGGAAAGAGCGGAGGAGGGGAAATAATACAGCGACTTGACTAGGCTGGCAGAAAACGCATATTCACAGATGTTGTTCAGTGGGTGGAGAGACCAAAGTTAGGCGTGGTGTTACTAAGACTCTGAAAAGGTGAAATTAAAACTGTTGTCAAAGGAGGGAAGTTAGAGAAGGGGATATTGTTTCATGTTTTACTTTAAATGTGCTACTCATTCTGGATCCGTCTCACCATTCATTGAAACTTGTTTAATATTGTGTGGGTAGAATCAGCCTAGTTTGGGGTGAGAACTGGTAAGGTCTGTGTCCACATAGAGGTGGATTCCAGTGTATAATGATCCGAGTTCCACCCTGGAACCCACATCGTGGAGTGACAGAATAGGTTCCTGGAAGTTACTTTCTGACCATCACATTCAGGTTGGGCATGAAACGCCCTCCCCCAAGAAAAATAATATGTTGCCTAAATATTTAAAAAGTAAAAAGAACCATGTCACCCAATGTATTTATAAGCCATTTAATTGCCTTTTTAAAACCGCAGTTGTGATCTACCCTAATTTCATGTTCCAGTAAGATAATATTTGTTGATTCCAACAACCATTATGCCATTATAAAAATGCCTTAGGAATTTGGGACTAGACCAATTACAAGAGGACAAAATCTCTGCCACATTCGCATTAGATTTCTAAAATCACACTTCCTCTCAGCTGTTCCTAAAATAGTTTCCTCTCCCCGGCCTTGCCAGCCTCATTAACTACCCTGTTCTAGTTCATTACCAAGACCAGACATGTAGGCTTCCATTTCTGTGAAGACCTTGCTAACACAGTTACTAAAAATTACCTAACAACTGGCGTTCAGTGTTTATTCAGTAACCCTAGATTTCCAAGGTGAATTCAATGTGACATCGAGGCACATGCCTGCCATCACTTAGGAGTATGAGGCGGTAGGATTATGAGTTCCAGTCCAGGCTTAACAAGGTTTAAGAAAATAAAACATGTGGTAAGGAAGCACAGACCAGTAAGAGGGTTTTAGAAGAAGCATTCTGCTTTTGATTTAAGTCCGTATCATATTCTGTTAACATAGTAAAAACCTGCTAAATCTATTTTCAAAATGGGTTCTGTGCGTTTCCAGAAAAGATTTACTTGGTGTCAGTTACAACTAGTTCCTTATTTTCAGGAAGGTTACAGAGATGGAGTAGATGCTGGCAAAGCAGTTACTCTCCAACAGGGCTTCAATCAAGGTTATAAAGAAGGTGCAGAAGTCATTATAAACTATGGACTACTCAGGGGAACACTGAGGTAATTTTAAAAATTTAGTAATGAATCATTTTAACCACAACTCTAATGGATTTTTTTAAATGGAGGTAATATGTAAAAATAAAATGACTTAAAGTGCTTTTCCTAATGTTGGATACATGAGTCTTCAGAGCATAAAAAATCATCAGTTCATCCACTTTAATATGTGTGTGTCTGATGCTTTCCCATTTTTGCAAAGAAATGGGAGGAAGGTGTCCATTTTCTGTCCATTTGGGCTAGCACTAATCACTAACGAGACTTTCAGCTTCCAGGTTAGGTTCTTTATACTCTCACATGTAGTAAGGCATGCCTGTAGGCTAGAAGTCCATTGGGAAAGCTGTAACTACTAATGGAAAGAGGTCCTGTGTGTTTCAGTCCTGAACTTTGAATCCCTGTCAGGATGCCATCGCAGTAACATCAGAGAATAGTCAAACGTCAGATGACACATGGTGGCTGAGAGTGGAGTGGGCCTCTTGGATGTGGCTAATGCTTAAACTCTCCTTTATAGAGAAACAAACTGCTGCAAAGAATCACAAATTTTAAAAAAGAAAAGAATTGTTGATAGTTTTCAATTATGTTGAGGCCTTTAGAAAATTAACTACAATATATAACTCACTACAATAGGCAAATGACCAAGTGGTCGTCTCCACTTCATGTTTGTGACTTAGAAAGCTGCATCTTTCACAGCTGCCGATTTCACTTGTGAAGTATTTTCAGGGAGGGGGAGCTCAGAGGTGGAGTGTGTGCACAGCAGGCATACAACCCTGGGCTCAGGCCTCACCAAGGAAAGAAAGAACCATCGTTTTATTGTATAAACAATCGGGGAGGAAGGGTCATGTACTAGAAAAGTAACAAATATAATTAAGTATATTTGAAGTAGAATTCTTAACACTTTTAGAGAAAATTAAAGCTCTGTTAGTGATTCTGATTTGTGACAAAGATTAAGAATGATTAGTTTAGAAATTGTTAGATGTCCTTAAAGGAGAACCTGGGGCTGCCTGGCATGCCTGATATCAGGAAAGAAAAAAACATTCCATTGACAACACTTTCTGACAATGAGCAGTCCGGGATGAAGTACTACTCCCGATGTTTTGTCATTCTCATAGTTTAGCAAGCCTATGGTTTCTATTTTCAAAGGAACCAGAAGAAGGGACTGGTTTTTCTGGTCTTTATGTGAATTATATCTTATTGCATATAAGTTACATGGTCATAGAAAATAGAAAGAAATTGGGCCAGGCAATGGTGGTGCTCGTCTTTAATCCCAGCACTCAGGAAGCAGAAGCAGGTGGATCTCTGGTTCGAGGCCAGTCTGGTCTACAGAGTGAGTGCTAGGACAGGCTTCAAAGCTACACAGAAAAACCCTGTCTAAAAATAAAAAAGATACAGAGCTATGAAGGAGGAGGTATGATTTATAAACAGTTTATATGATTAAGTCTTCTTATAACTTGTATTAAAAGATGCTTTATTCTTTAGTGTTATTTACATTGTTATTTTCCTGATTTCGACATGTATTATTATCACTAATCTGTTTCTGCCTGGTGTTGTTTAGAAGGACAGCATGTAGGGCCCAGCATTCTAAATACCTGTGACTACTTAATTTTTTTTTCCTGTTTAACTCTTGTTTGTATTTTCATTCAGTGCTTTGCTCTCCTGGTGTCACCTTCATGGTAATAGTTCAACTTTGATCAGTAAAATCAATGATCTTCTGGACGCAGTTGGCCAGTGTGAAGAGTGTGTGCTTAAACGTCTGAAATCAGTCACTCCACAGCCCCAAGTTACAGATTTATTGGACTCCATTGAGGATATGGACCTTTGTCATGTAGTTCCAGCTGAGAAAAAGATTGATGAAACTAAAGATGAAAGATTCTGTGAAAATAGTGCTGAATTTAACAAAAACTCTGACAAGAGTCATAACGGAATACATTGTTCACATTCAGAATGTTGCAGAACACAAGAACATGCACATTTGGAAAAGCCAAGCCTCACTTGGATTCTGGAACAGACAACTAGTTTAGTGAAACAGCTGGGAGTATCAGTAGACGTATTACAGCACCTGAGACAACTCTAAAATTATCTCTCCTTTTGGAGTGGAAGTAATGCTCACAATATTCCTTAGAGCATTGTGTTTCTAAAAAAGGTAACCGTTGGTTGAATACTTCACTTGTAGTTACCCCTTGTGGAAGCATGAGGGGTCTCAGGGCTAACATTAGTAAATGGAATATAAGCCTTTATCTTTGTTATTGGTAATGTTTTAGTTTTAGATATGCTCAGAAATACACATTGTCATTTTCAGGTTTCTAATCAAAATCTAGTCATTTTTAGACTAGCAAAACCCAAAAACAAGAGAAAAAAATCTAATGCTGCTTTCTATTTTTGTCAGTATCAGATGGTTTAGGCCCCTCACCAGCAACCAAAGCAGAGTTGCCAGAAATAACCTAAAGTAAATGTGTAAATAGCTATACATTGAAGTCAAGAGACCATAAAAACTGACACATTATTTATATTGTTGATTGAATAATTGAAAGTAAAGTGCTAAAATTGACCTTATTTACATGTTGGTTATAGATGTTCGATTCTATGAGAAATAGAAAAAAATACATTTCATGTTAAACATAAAGAACTGCTTAGTTTTCTAGGGTAGTGAGCAGTTGGCCATGTTTTCTCCAAACAGACTATTTCTGAACTGTAGCCTTGTCATCTACATTGGAATAAAACACTGAGCCCATTGACCTGTATTATTTCAACATGAAATGTGTAATCTAGCATAGGCAGGGCCATTTTCGGATTTTTGTTCCATAGCTTAGATATCAGGAAAAGATTTTTCATCATTTTCCCCACCTGGAGTTAATATGAAGCGCCTGACTTGAGAGGCACCCAAATAATTCCCAAGAACTTGTCCTGTCCTGCCAGCTTCAGCTGCTGTTTGACCAGTATTTAGCTGTGCTGAGAGATGCTGCCCTAGTGAGAGACTGGCAGGAATGCCTAAGGGACTAGGGAAGTAATCTGCTGGTTTCTTAGATGCCTCTTTAAAATGCACAGAACATTAAGAAATTGAGGCAGCAAATTTTGAAGTAGTGTTGTTTCCAGTGTACTAAAACATGCTTAAGGTATCAAAGTGACATTTGATGGCTGGTTTTTTTGTTTGTTTGTTTGTTTTTGTTTTTACGAGACAGGGTTTCTCTGTATTGTTTTGGAGGCTGTCGGTCCAGCCTGGCCTTGAACTCACAGAGATCCGCCTGCCTCTGCCTCCGAGTGCTGAGATTAAAGGCATGTGCCACCACCGCCCAACGATGGCTGGTTTTTTTATTCTGAAACTTTATTTGTAGTACTGGGGATTGAATCTAGGACCTCATGAGTGAGTTTTAAATTAAAATTTCAAATCTACAGTATATTATAGTCTCTAGAGCAGTGGTTTTCAACCTTCATAATGCTGTAACCCTTTAGTACAGTTCCTCATGTTGTGGTAACCTGCAACCATAAAGTTATTTTCATTGCTACTTCATAACTAATTTTGCTACTGTTTTGAATCGTAATGTAAATATTTTTGGAGACAGATTTGTCAAAAGGGTCAAGATCCACATGTTGAGAACCTCTGTCCTAAGGTGTCACTGTTGCTCTACCTTGTACGTTATATAGAAATAACCACTTCTAACAATGCATCTCAAAATGGCTACTCTAAAGATTTGAGTGCAATAAGTCCTGAGATTTTACTTGGACATTCCCTGATAAGATTTCCTAAAGACAAGATCCCTTGCCACCATTATTTACATAAGGTATCGTTATACTAATAGTCACAGAAAAGGAAATTGAGTATTAGCTGGGAATGCTAGAGGTGGTTCAATGGATAAAAGCATTTGCTGCACAACCATGAGTTCCGGTCCCAGTATCCACTTAAAAGTTAGGTATGATCCCAAGCTTATCTAACCTTTCATGGGTGTAGAAACTAGAGAACTGCAGAGACTTGCTGGCCTGCTGGGAGACATCTGCTTCAAAGGAGTAAAGCAGAAATTGCTAGAGGAGGACATTGGATGCCCTCTGATGGCCTGTGTGTACATGCAGAGATGTATACCCTTATACCACATGTGTGCGTGTACACCACACATACAAAAAGCTGTTGGGTTAAGGGGGCAGAAAAAACCTCTTTGATTTTTAGAAAAGTTATAGAGAAGTTCCTGGACTGCAAAGGAATAGCAATGCTATGATGAAGCAAAAACAGTAAGGGAAAATCCCCTTGACTTGTGCCCTTTGTCTTGCTTTCTATGCTGTGAGCCAGGTCTCCCCTGAAAAGGCCCTGAGGAAGTATAAATGGGAAGGCAGGAGTGCCCTGCTGCTGTGACCAGAGTTTCATCGCCAAAGGGTCACATCTGAAATGTTACTTCTGGTGCTGATGTATCCAGGTCTTTTCAAGCAAACAGGCCTGGGGCCATAGCACTAGCTTTCCTGACACTTAAGTCACTAGCACCACCAAGGCCACTGAATTGTGATTTGCAGAAGTGAGCAGCTAAATTCACCTACTGGCATCTTTATTTATAGCTGTGCATCACTTGCTGGGCATAGATTCTGGTGACCTCAGGCAGTTCTACGGTGCAGATACTAACATGCAGAAGCTGTTTATGTCACTAAGAGATAGGACCTTATGAGACCATACCGTGTCTGAACCTCATTTTTGGCCACAGCATAACTAGTCACAACATGACTATGCTGCACTGCTTGCTAGCAGCTCATGGTAAACCCAGTTAAAGGCCAAGCTGTGATTCTTTTTGTTTGTTTTTTTGTTTTTCAAGACAGGGAGGCTGTCCTCTGTAGACCAGGCTGGCCTCAAACTCACAGAGATCCACCTACTTCTGCCTCCCGAGTGCTGGGATTAAAGGCGTGTGCCACTAACGCCTGGCTCCAAGTTGTGATTCTTACCCTCTTCAAAGTAAAGTTACAGTTTTGTGTGCTAGTCTAAGATCTAGGACAAAATAGTTATATATACTCATGTATGTAGATTGGATGGATGGAATCTTTAAATTATTTTTTTAATTATTCCCAAGTTTTGACGAGTACATAAAATAAGCACATGCTGTTCATAAACTACCAGTCAAGACTTCTTGCTGTACAGAAATCACAAATCTCCATTGTAAAGATGCTATACCCTCATAGATACTGTTTATGACTAACAGACTTCACAGAGTTAGATACCCCTGCCTTAACTGCTGCCCACTCACCAGCCTCACACTGCTTTTAACTAAGGTCACTGTTAGGTAAGGTCACGGCTGCCCATCACTAGTGTGTTCTAGTTCAGTCACTTCCTGTGCCCGTCAGTGAACATAATTAGACACACCTTCCCATAAGATCTTCTACTTGTCTTACTCATAGTTAGCCACCTATTCCCAAAAGTTCCTCTACTTGTCTTTCTTGTGGTCATTGCCTTATTCTTTGTCATTCTGTTAATGCTCCACTTTTTGTCCACTCCTTAAAACTTCTGGGGGTTTCATTCTTGGGCCCCTTTTGTTTCAGATTCTAACCAGATGATCTCACTTCCCATACTATCACAAGGCTAGCATTTTAGCTTCCGTCTTTAGCCCAAGCTCCAGACCTAAATTCACAACTGCCAATTTCTCATGCCTATTTCAGTGATTTAACACAACATGTCTAGACAACCTATTCCTTTTTTCTCTTTCCTGATTTGCTTCGTGTTTGTGTTTTGACTCTTAAAGTCATCTAGGCTCATCCAAAACTAGAAATCATTAAGTCTTCTGTTTTTCTTTGCCATCATATTCTACATCTAGCGGATTATTTTTACATCTTCATATTGTTTGAATTTGATCTTTCATTCAAATAGTCAGGTTTTTCTTTCTTTTTTTTTTTTAATTTTTTTCCAGTGTTCTTGTTCTTTGTTTTGTTTGAGGTAGGGTCTCCCTGTTCCTGCATGGCCTCTGTGGCCTAGGCTGGCCTTAAATTCATGATCATTCTGCCTCTAACTTCTAAATGCCAGGATTCAGGCATATACCATTACACCGGCTTCATCAGATATTAACCTTTGTACTATCCCTCACTGTCACAACTTCTAATCTAGCCCTATTCCTGTCTTTTGTTGCACTCATCTCTGCCTTCCTGAGACAGTTTATTAAACAAAACCTTGTAGAGTTCCCATTTTCTTACCTATAAAATTATAAACTTGAGTTTCAGTTCTGGGTCCAAGCACTATGGTCAGCCATATTTCCCATCATGCATTTTCCATTTATTTACAGATAATGTTACAAGACTTATATACATAATAGAGCTATTCTCACTACTTATTCTCGGCTCCTGCCCAAAATGTGTTATCCCACATCCATTGTGCCTTGAAAATAATCAGTTTACAAGTCAGTTGTATCACTTTTTCCCAGTGTTCCCTCTGCATTCTGTAGAGTGTCCCTCATCTTCAGGGTGCCTCAGGAAAGTGCCTTAGTCTGTTAAATGCCCAGCATTTAGCATCCTGCACTGTACAGAGATCCACAGATAGTGCTTGGTGAAGGAAAAAAGTATGAGTGAATCTTGTAGCCTAACTGAAAATACAGCTAGGAATGTGAGATTTCAGAACAGCTATTTAGGGGAGATTTTTGCCCTTTCAAAAGAGTTTCTGGGTCTGGAGAAATAGCCCAGAAGTTAAGAGCACTCCTTGCTCTTCCCAGGACCCAGTTAACAATTCCAGGCACTCACATGACAGCTCACAACTGTCTGTAACTCCAGTTTCAGAGCTAAGAGGCCCACATCTGGCTTCTGTAGCAACAGCACGTACTACACAAACACGAGCATAATTATTTTAAGGATTTTCTTTTCAAATGTTATCGATAAAAATTCGTAATCCAAACTTGGTCATCATTTTATACTAGGGTAAATAATAACATATTAAGAAATAGCATTACCAGTTCTTAAAGTTACACTAATGAGTTGACTGTATGTAGCTCAGTGGTTGAGCATTTGCCTAGCATATGTGAGGCCCTCACTGCACCACCCAAAAGTTGTATTAATGATTAAATAATATTACACTATAATGCAAATTTAAAATATCAAAATCTACTTAATATTTTTGGGTATTAAGGAAGTACAGAAACTGCAGAACTGGATGGAAAACAGTTTAATAAATGCTTAGTATTCAGCAAGATTCCTGGAAACAAGGTTTTAGTAACACGAGTTGGAAGTAGAAGAGGAAAGTTTAGTGAATAGAGTGTTTTGTGTGCACAGTCCCTAGTCTAAAAGCTTTACGTATTTTGTTTAATCTTTATAATGATTCTGTATCAGAGAGATAGCCATTAGCCCCAAGCTAGAGATAAGGAAACTGAGTCAAGGAGCAGGTTAAGCAACTTAACCCAATTCAGAACTGCAAATGGCATAGATTTGAAATGTAAAATAAGGTACAGAGTTTGTGCTCTAGGTAGATGCTCACTATTTTCCCCTTGTTGTCTTCTGTCTACATTTCACAAGTCTTCCCCGTGAGCAAGTGTGTTAGGGTTTTCTAGAGGAACAACCCTGAGAGAATAAATGTATGTTGTTAAAGGATTTGTCACATCAGATTACACAATAGAGGCTTGGCAGGCTGGCAGTGATTTTCTACACATTGGAGAGGCTAAGAACCTGGTAGCTGCCCATCCTCAAAACTGGGTGCCTCAGCAGTCCACGTACAGCACTGAAGGCCTGGAAGAGTCCAGAGAGCTGCTGGTCTTTAGTTCACACTGGAAGCTGGCTTCTGGTGCAAGT